TTCCTTTTCCTTCCTTTTCCTTCCTTTTCCTTCCTTTTCCTTCCTTTCCTTCCTTTTCCTTCCTTTTCCTTCATTTTCCTTCCTTTTCCTTTTCCTTCCTTTTCCTTCCTTTTCTTTCCTTCCTTTTCCTTCCTTCCTTTTCCTTCCTTTTCCTTCCTTTTCCTTCCTTCCTTTTCCTTCCTTCCTTTTCCTTCCTTCCTTTTCCTTCCTTCCTTTTCCTTCCTTCCTTCCTTCCTTTTCCTATTCCTTTTCCTTTTCCCCTTGCTTCCTTTTCCTTTTCCTGTTCCTTTTCCTTTTCCTGTTCCTTTGGCCCTTGCTTCCTTCCTTCCTTCCTTCCTTCCTTCCGAGATGAAGTGATTCTGAGATTGGTCCTATGCAGAGGGCAACCCGAGGCTTGGCCTTCAGTGTCGGCTTCTTGTTTGATGGATGTCGTCCGACCGAGTCCGGGGAAAACGAAAGCGAAGTCCCAGCGGGCGCGGGCCACACCGGGGGGGAGGACCAACCATTCACGGGTGGCATCGGTCCGAAAGGGTTAGACCGATTTCGGTCTACAGTCCCTGAAATCATCATGGAAGTGGATGAAAAATCGCCCTTGAAAGGATGAGCATTCTCCAAATACCATGACAGGTGGTGAACGTTCCATGATGGTTTCAGGGAGTGTGAGTGTAACCCTCAAACATCTCTGGGACATCGCTGCCAGTCCATCCCTTCGTCATGGAGCTCTCCGTCTCCCTTGGGCGGCCCCCGAGCGAGCGCACCTCGGGGTCCACGTGGCAGAGCACCATGAGTCTCTTGACACAGAGCCTGAAGTGGCAAAGCTGGGAGCGTCCAGGGCGGTTGGAGGGGTCGTCCCTTCGGCACCCCGGGCGGCCAAAAGAAAGGCCAGCTTGGCCATCCAACTGTTCGGAGCGATGCCATCCAACTCCCACATTTGGGTGGCAGTTGGAGCAAAGGGATCCCCTGCGCACACTCTGGTCCCAGCGTTTGGTGCTTGGCAAAGGAGGGAAAGGAGGGGTGGAGGGGCGGGGATTGGTAGGTTCAGTGCGGAAGGGATCATCAACGAGACATGGAATGTCTATGTTCCCAATGAATGTCCGAAACGTACAGGAGCACCAGGCTCACTTGCAAAAGGTCGCTTTACTCCTGGGGTGCCCCCACTCGCCGTACTCCTCGGGGGCCGTCTGCAATGGCAGAGGTCCAATGGCGTTCATGGCCACAGCGTAAACGTCACCTGGGTCCGGCTGGTTCTCGCTGAGCGTCCAGTTCTCTTGGGTGGGTGTATCCCATGACCCGTCAAGAACAGGCTGGTCCCATGAGTTCGGCAAAAAGGCGCGGCGCCAAAAACCCCCGCGGCTCCGGGGATTCTGGGTGCAGAATTTTGCAGGCTTGTTCCAATGAAGTAGTTGAGGGAATCAACTGGATAGAGTTGTGAAGTTGTGAAATCGTTTGAGAATGCCTTGGATCTACTTGATTCCTTGAAAACCTCTGCATATCCCATTCCAAAGCCCATTTGCTTTCTGAAAGAACTCACAGACTTGTACTGCGGATCTCTCCAAAGCAGGGAATAAACTTCTTCCATCAACCTCAACGTGCTTTCAGGAGTTTTCAGAGCGTTACATCCAGTCTCGTCTTTGGGAGGTTGCTTACAAAAACCTCCAATTGAAACTAGCACCCCCCCACCCAATCACAGATTCATCCTTCTAAGAACCATCACCTCCCATCACCTTCTCTTGTCGCACTGCACCACCAAAAAAGAACAGCCCCTCTCCACCGCGCTCCGCTGGGGATCCGCAGCCAAGCTCTTTCTTGTCTGGCCATGGCAACTTCTCCGCCTCGTCCACCAGGCGGCTGATCTGCCGAACATCGCCTGCCGTCGAAGGGACGAGGAGCCCGGTGGTGGCAGCTTGGTCATAAAACGGGGGCCAGCGTTGCGGTTCGGTTGATTTACGTTCCTCTCTGCTGCTCTGGCTAAGAGCCCCCTTTCTGACTTCGGGGGTGTCACTGTCGCTGAGGTGATGGCACCAGCCTGGCACCGGCCGTTTTTGCCAAAGCAATCGACTTCATGGTCTTGTGTCTTCATGGTATTTTCTTCTTCTCCGAGTTTATGTCCATGACAGCCGGAGGGAACCCCAAACAGCTCAGCGTAACTATGACTTCTCCTCTCTCGCCCAGACGAGCGTCTCATTTAGATGTCATCCTCGCTGCATGTTCATTTCAAGATCAAGATCCAACATCACCAGGCATCCGAAGCACTGACCAGAGAGCAAATCAACAAGGGCTTGCCAAGCTACAGGCTTTACAGCCTGCGAGCACTCAACGCCACCCGTGCGTCTGCCTGCTAAGAACAGTTGTTTGTTTCTACATCTGACTTGTGATTGTGATGTTCATACATCAACATACATTGACATGAGTGTGGGCTCATGCAAGCAACAGCCACGGAATCAAAGGGCTAGGAGGATCAATTTTGCAAACTCACATTGGCTTGAGAGCAGGGAAGCGTTTGCTTGCGAAAGCAGATTTGCAATCCATTCTCAGTGCACAGTCTTGGGATGATCTGAGGTGGAACCGACTACATCAGGATATGCGGATCTCACGTTTCTTATCATGGACCCTCGATTTCAAAACAAGAACGAGTGCTGGGAAGGCGTTTTAAACATGTGGTTCTTCAAGCTTTGTTGTAGTGGCAATACTAGCTTCCATGTCCTTCGA